AAAAAAAAGGTCTGAATAACAGTGATAAAATTATGGATGTTATTAAGTTGAATAACGTGATGAAGATAAGGGCAGACTGAAACAGTCCTGGTCTGTAAAAGAATATAGGTAAACTGGGAAATGCTCCAAGAGGGACAACATTGTTTCAAAGGTGAACAGAATAACTTTCATCTAAGGGATGGCTGAATATATTTATAATGTTTGGAAAAGAGAAGTGAGATGATGACCTAGGGAATGATGGAATCTCCCAATACAATAATTCGATTTTTCAAGAGATAGAGAGAAATGTTTGTTTATTTCAGAACAACAGGAGATTGTGATTTACCTGAATTTACCTAGTGTTAACTGAGAGTATGAAAGTTCCTACTGGAGACTACTGTTTCAGAGTATAAAAAACATATCTGAAGTGCATTAAATGCCAAATTGGTTCAGAAAGCACCTGGAGAAACTTGGAGGGAAAAATGGTATGGGACATCAATCACAAAAAGATAATTTACAGCTCTGCAAGTCTGAGCTGTATACCTCTGGAGCATGAGGAAACTTCCTGTAAAAGCCTATTTTTCCTGCTGTATTTTTGCCATAAACATCTGGTATCAATTTCTGTTGTAAATGGGATACTTTGATAGATGGAGGTTTGCTATTACTTTTAAAACTATTGCTTTCAAAATTATTTATTGCTTTTACTTTATTTTCCTTCAAAGCATCTGGAGACAGACTAATTCTTTATGACATGATAAAGTTTATTTTCTTGCAAAAATTGTTTGACATTAATCTTTTAGGTACACATCATGGTAATTAGGAGATACAGTATAAACATATAGGTTGGATTACAGTTGGATCACATGTAAAAAGAAGGGTTTCTTTCTAATTTTTTTTTCACATTTACTTAGCTGTTTTTGAGCAGTCTGAACACCCTGTAGTTGTGTCTTATTTGTAGAAACTGCAAAATTATGATAATGATCCTCAAATTTTAGTAAGTGCCAGTGGAGGACTTCCTGTTGAATGACTGAATGTACAATGTCACTGGATATTGGGTCTCAGAGAATGGTAATTGCTATGGAAATTGTTTCTCATAAAATGGCTAGCTACTTATTTGGTCAAAAGTCACTAAGGCAAATGATGAATTTATTATTTTCAAAAAGATTGGTAAAATTTCACACACACACACACACACCTCATGCATACATATAAATGAGTTGGTAGTGGTTATTTCAGAGAACTGAAGAGTGCACAATGTATGTTCCCTTAGCAATAAATGAAAATCATTTGAGCTTTGTTGTTCCTTACTGCAATCAAACAACTTTGAGCATAAACTACTTTTCTCAAGAGTGTATGCTTTACCAAATAATATTTCCAGTAGTCCTTGTGTTGCCCAGACTCCCAGGTTACAAAGATATTTGCTTATTTGTTTTGTAAATAGTTACTGTATTCCTTTTTTTTTTAAGATGGTGGGATCATACAATTTTGGATTGCCAAATCTAATGTCATGCTTGCCAAAGCAGGACTTTTTATAGCTTTTCCTCCATGGACCCACTCCTGCTATGGAGTGTAGCACTCATGAAGCAGCACATATTGCTGCTTTATACTAGAAAGGAAAATAACTTAATTTGAACATTACAGTTTTGCATTCTCCAGAGAAGTTTATTTGCCCCTTACTCCTAGCTGAATAGACTAAAGATCATTCTAGCTTTTCAGAAATTCAGATTTCCATATTCCTACAAGAATTTCTGCTACATTTATAATGTTTGTTGTTGGCAATCACTCAGAAATGCTGTTAACTTATCTGTATTTGAAAAAAGAGGAACGTTCTAGGCATGGCTTTTGTCCTCTAAGCATCTTTCTCCTGCCAAACATATGATACGTGTCAGATAGGATGGACTAGTGGCAATCTAGGTTACTGATGTTGATTGGTATAAGATCATGGAATTAGTCATTCTGGCATATGGAGTGAGATGTAGGTTACATCCGAACTGCATCCAAATTAGTTAATTTATCAACAATGAAGTGAATGTCTGTCTTCTTCCTTAAAGCACAGTAATAAAAAATTTAGAATTAAAAAATACTGTCTGAATTATTTTCAAAACTTTCCAGCATTAAAAGAGTACTGAAATTTGAGAATTATGTGCACATCTACACATAATGTCAGCAACACTAAAGTGCAACATGCTCTACATGATTGACTGACTAATGATTTATTCATAATTTAATTTAAACTTCTGGTACACTATTCTGAATTAACTTTCTCGAACAAGAGTATGTCTTAAAAGAATTATTAGATCTTGGTTAATGTTTCAAATGAAAGCAAATCCAAGGAAATTTAATGTGATGCTTAGGTAATAACTACTTTTGTTGCTAACAATGCCCCCTAATTTGCAGTCTGACTTGAAGCCAATCTGGCTGCCAGCATGGGCTTCTCTCTGTTATGCCATTACCTTCTGTAATGCTATTCTCTTTTTCTTTGCATCTTTATCCATTGCAGTCCTTCAACCCCTCTAGACTATTTAGCTTCACAAAGAGTAACTAAATTCCTCTGGGTCTTCAAAAGAGGGCATATTTTTCAATGCCTTATTCATTTTGATCTTTCTCTACCTTTCTGTCTAACTTCTCATCCCACTTGCAGGATGGTTATCAGATTCAGGTAACACCGAGACAATTCAACTTTCTTCTGCTCTCAGACTTTTTATAAAGTTCATTGTCTTCATTAGATGTTTCCCAAATGCCAACAGGACGTCTGAACTATTACTTCTGTTTTTTCCATGTCATCATTAAAAATTGTTTGTGGTAAAGAAGTAAATTGTATGTCCTTCCTTTAGAAATACTTCAATTCAGTTCATATCCTTTTGCCATACTGAAATATGAAATTTAAAATATTTTCATTCAGTGAATGTTTTTCATGGTTTTACAGTATTAGTTATCTTACAGAACTTTGTTTCATCAAATCTATTATTTTATAGAATTTTATTTTATATGGTTTGGGTTGAAAGGGACCTTAGAGATGACCCAGTTCCATCCAACCCCCTTGCCATGGGCAGGGACACCTTCCATTAGACTAGGTTGTTCAAAATCCCCTCCATCCTGGCACTGAATACTTCCAGGGATGGGGATCCACAGCTTCTCTGGGCGGGACATTCATTTTTACCAACTAAACAAACTAGCTAGTTTTATCAACAACAAGATAATAAATTTAAAATGTCACCTAAAAATCCATCAAGGCAATTATTGTGTAGTGTCATTTTAAGGCAATACTTAATAGGAAACCTGGTATTTATTATTTGTTCCCCATATAAAGACATTTTCTTTCTGCCAGTTTTGTGCTTGAGTGCTGTAACCAATGCTTTGTAGTTAAGAATGTTGCTCTTTTAAGTTTCAGCTCTATTGTTCAGGCTACTTGGTGACTCAGACAAGTGCCATTTCATCAGTCTTTGAAGTCTGGAAATAATTTTTTGTACTTGGTAATAAAGGAAAAATACAGGAAAAAGCAATTATTTATTTCCTCTATTGTTACCACACCCATAAAAACAGCAGGTATTGCAACTGCCTAAATTCACTTCTAATGATCAATGGGTGGGTTTTATTTCAAACGTGTCAGAGCTGTTTCCTTCTATTGGATGATTTCTTACCAATAGATTAATTGGCTCTCTCAGATATTTTCATTAGATATAATTATATGAAAAACTGTTTTACCAGATGTAACAGTATTTTCTAGGTTATTGTGAACTGCATTTTGTTTATTCTCTACCTCTCACTTATTTGAAAAACATATTTCTTGGCACATCATTTGACTTTTAAAATATATGCCTTTTTTCTTCCTTTTTCTCAAGATAATATTCAAATGTATGTCAGGTATATTCCTCAAAATTGAATCAGTATATACCTTCAGAAAGAGCACACACAGAAGGAAAATCCCTGCTATTTTAGGGCTGGTAAGGCAGTTTACCATGTATTCTGTTTTCTGAAGATCAGTATAAATCATTACAATTGCCCCAAAAAATAATGACAAGGTTCAGTAATGTTTTTCACTTGTAACACTGAGTAAAAGATAAATAAGACCTATTTTAAGGCAACTTCTGCACATTTTATTTTAGGAAGTTCGTTTTAATTTCAAGGAATAACTTACGCAAGATCTAATAAATCGTATTATGCAATACGTATTATTCTCCACTTCTGTTATATTTCTGGATTGAAAAAAACATTCATGAAGAATGAGAATTCAAAAGAGACTATAATTCAATCTCTTGCATGAAATGAACACAGGGAGGACCACTGTGATTATGGTTACATGTGTACCTTCACATTATTCTTTCTTTTTAGTTTCTTGTAGTATGGTTATAAGCCATTTCTTGTTTGCATTCATTGTTTCTAAACAATGTTTAAATACAAAGTACTCACTTCCTCCATGTTCTGTAGTCCACTAGGAATATAAACAGGTGTTTCATCAGTGAATTCTGACCACAAATATCAGCATCTGCTCCATAGTTTGTTTGATGCTCTTTGGTCCCTCTTCCACACACGTATCACACTTTCAGCAGAGTGAATTGTCATGAGTCTGTGAAAGAGCATTCCACCAAGAGAATTGGTCTAGGGTTAGCTGATTAGAGCTGCCTCTTCATTTTATAGCAGGCATTTTTCCATTTTGCCTCATGCCCCAGGCAGCGTGGTGCTGGAGCAGACAGATGCCCCTTTTTCTGCAGCATGTACCTGGATTCCCATGCCCATGGCAACAGGTTTGGGAATGGAGATGCTGTCCAGGCTCTTGCCCTGATTTCTGGGAAGAGTACAGCCAGCACAAAAACAGTAGGCTAGAAGGTTCTGACTGTTCTGACTAAAACTGGGAACCCTGGTGCACAAAACTCATCCCAAAATATGAAGAGAACAAATGTCAGTTCTATTGCTCTTTTTGGTTATCCAGCTCTAAAGCACTTTTTAACCTAATTCTCTGAATAATGTTATTCCACTTACAAAACTGGAGTGTTTTTACTGTCTCCTGTTTATTCTTTCAGGATTTGTGGATTTAACACTCCATGATCAGGTCCATCTACTGGAATGTGCCTGGTTAGAGATACTGATGATCGGCTTAGTCTGGCGCTCCATGGAACACCCAGGAAAGCTTTTGTTTGCACCTAACCTGTTACTGGACAGGTCAGTCTGCATGCTGCTTTGAATTATTTAAGTTAATTTATTTCTGCTGCAATCAGAATAACTTTTAGCATGATATCATCTCACCAATACTACAATTTGACTGTACATCATATGTCAAGCAGGCTTATGGTAGGTGAGACTGGAAAACCAATGCTCAGGAATGTGATACTGGTCATTTATTAGACAAGTAACACACCTGAGATTCATCTGCTGCTTGAAGTACCTTCTTTCAAAGGCAGCAGTATATTTATCTTATAATCGTACTGTTTGTTGCAGAAGTAACTTAAATGAAAAACTGAACACTTCATTTAGTTCAGATAGTTATTTTTGTTTATTTAAAATCCTCATAGTTTTTCTTAGAATGATTTTTTCCAAGCAGCCAGACAAAAATTTGGAAGAAAATCCTCATAGAATCTCAAGTGTAGTTTTATTTATTTATAGAGAATATATTAAGTTTGGGGGTTTTTTTCCTCATGAAAACTGGAGACAAATATGTCAAACATATACTTGCTCCCTTCACTAAGCTTTTTTTTTTAGCCAGTCTTGCTAATATGCTAATTATTTCTGAGAGAAAAAATATTAATCTGTACTCTATGGCAATATCCTGGATTTTAGCTGGCAGGCTTCATGTTAAAAGCAAGAAGACTGATAATTTAAAATATATTTTGTACTATCTTAATGTAAATTTAAGCTCTCTTTTCCTAGTTATGTGAAAAGTTTCATGAAAAATCTCAATTAAATTTTCAGACAAAATTTCTTAGGATAGAGTAATCTTAGCTATTGGTGATCCTTTTAGTTGAAGACTACTGCCCACACAGCAGAGCTGGCAGGGGAGAGGTGCTGTGCACAGAGGTCACTTCAGGGCAGACTTTGGCATCTAGGCCTAAACTGGAAGTGGCAGAAGAACCAAACTGAGATGGAGTACACAGAGCAGCAGCTAAGAGCTGGGCAAGCTCCTGGCCTCACCAGGTAGCTGCCAAGGCAGAGGGGTGGCAATAGAATGTCAAGGGGAGTGCCCTCAGCTACTGCAGCTACCAGGTGTGTAAATTAATCAAAATTCTCATTAGCAGAAAAATGTCTTACGATCAGCTTGCTCTGTTGACTGAGTTGGGTACTGAGGGTGGGGTACTGAGTTTCCATGGTTGCATTCATGCAGTGTTAATCCTTTGATTCCCTGACCTCTATTTGCACACCCCCCCCCAGGACTTACTTTTAGCATTTTAGTAAAATACAAATGATAACACCTAACAGGATAAAACGTAATATTTCCCAGTAATAGAGAAATGTTTATTGCCTTAGGAAAAACCCTATTCCACTTGTGTAAGCACAAAGATCTGTGAGCTGTGGAACTAGATAAGTATAAAATACATTCTCATTTTACGTACAGAAAATATATGCTTGTCTAAATGTAAGTATAGTCTTCAGAAAAAGCTGCAACAGTTTTGAAATAATTTTGAAATTTTGGTCTTCAACTTAAAATCCACATGCTCTCACTAAAATGGAGTTTGAGCACTTGATTCACACTAAAGAAAACCATTGCATGCAACTAGAACCACTTCAGGGCTCTTTGTTTTCTAAGTTTCAATTGAGACTGTAAAAATGTAGATCTATTACATCTTCTAATTTTCAAATAATAAGATGCATGTTTCTAAGTAATCATATACTTGCCTCACTCCATTTGGTAGGGATATTTGCAGAAAGTAAAATAAGAAATTACTTGACTCTGGTAAGCAGTGATATGCTAATCAGTTAAATAACTCTTAATTTTCTTCTTAATTATTACTAAAAATATTTTGATGTGTTAATTTGATTTGGGCAAATTGGCTTTTAAGAATGTTATAGAGAAAAAATCTGTTGTTTGTCAGGTTTCAAAGGGCAAGACAGACACTGATTCAAAGCCTGTTTCTCTCAATGAAGTCCTTCCACTGCATCAAATAGTCATAGAAACATAAAATGGTTTGGGTTGGAAGGGACCTTAAAGATCATGAGTGCCAACCCCCCTTCCATGGGCAGGGACACCTTTCACTTGAACACATTTCTCAGAATCCCATCCAACACTTCTATATTTAGTGAAAACTTCTATTGTTAATACAGAGTTTTACCACACTGTCTATACCTCTAGATCTCTGTGGTCATTCTGTTGCAGACATCCTGTCTGATTTGAGCACTCCTTTCATTTTAGCATTCAGGCTTATCCTGATTCTAACAGATTCTTTCTGTCAAGGGTCTTTGATATAGGTAGTCATTTGTATATATCTGTTCCTAAAGCTTAGGTCACACCAAATTTTATTATACAACTTTTCTTGCCCTTTGGCTAGATAAATACAGTCTTGTCTTGTTAAAATCTATCTGAAATGTCATAAAAATAACCTTTCAGCTTTGCTGTTTTTTGAAAAAGATGTGATCTTTCTTCTCCCAACTCACTCCTCCTACTTGGGTCATATTAGACATATGCTTGTCTTGTCTCTGAAGATCTTTTGGAAACTGTCTTTTCTAATTCTGTGCGAGTCAACCAGTTACATTTTTAAATAAATACTTCTTCAACTTTCCTTTGCGACAATTCACACTTGGAAGACTTCTTGAAAAAATCTGTAAAGCAGACCCTAGTTAATAATTCTATGTTGCTTTTTAAAATTTTTCTTTGCCTGTAAGAAAATAATTACATAACAATTAAGTTGACAGGATGTGTAGACTTCTGTCTTCTGTATGGATGAATATAATTGCATTATCTCTTTTTCTTCCCAGTCTGCATTGTAATTAGACAGTGCATTTTGTGAGATAAAGCATCCTTTCTTATTCTGTTAATGCATTACCCAAATACCCGAGTCTTGGTTCAGAATTTTAACAGTCTGCCAGTTATGTAGGACTAGTAGACTTTCACAGTGTACAACTACTGCTATTAAAATGCTCAAATGACAATAATTATAGATTAGAAAAACAGGCTCAATCAGGAAATACAATGGCAAACTCACAGTGTTTGCAATTAATGTAGAGTACTTACTGAAATAAAATAATAAATTCAAGATTTTATATTCTGTTTTTGAAAATTAGTATATTGTATAAGGCAAATTTAGAAGTAAAGGCTTAGGTTTCTAGGAGGACAAACCAAATGTTTCCTGTCTGGAGGGTACCCAAGAAACTAGGCCTTAAAAATGTCATTAGACCAATGTTGGAATTTGTCAGGCCTGACAGTAGACTGTTAATAATTTTGAAGAAAATGTAATGTTTCTTCAGGAATAGGAAAGTAATATTTTACTTTATTTTGAAAGGCTTTGTTGCATTCAGATATCATGCTGATCCCAGGTTACTCAGAGTCTTGAAATGTGATTAAAGAAACTCATGATAGAAATAGCTGGATTTCTGAATCTCACTTGAAACATTCTCAGTTTCAGCAAAATGGGAAATGCAGTGCTGCATTTTAAAAAGGAAGCCTGGTGACCACAGTAAAGAAGCTGATGGGATGCCATCTAAAGAAGAGAATTGGCTGAAATTGAATGCAAATGACATAGTGATAAAGAGTCACTGTGCATTTTGTAAAAGGAAGCCACAAATACCTTGAAGTCCTTTAAGAAATTAAAATGCAAGGAGATGACAGACATCTTGTTGAATTTCCAAAAAGTATTAAACAAGTTCCAAATTTTATGTAGACAAATGTGATGGAATGTATATACAGGAGAATAACAATTCTGATCTTCCTAAACAGCATTCTGAGTTGGTCTTTCCATCTCATTGTTACCAGCAATTAATTCTATAGAACCAGCAGTTCTTTGCTTGTCAGTAGTCAGAGACTGCAGCTTTCCTTCCCCCAGAGAATGTTTACAACAGGAATAGTACAGAATAATAATATTATTCTGCATTATTCCTGTTGTAAACATGAAATAATACAGATCATTGTCATTCCTCTGTTTAATTCTGTGCTTCATCTGTGCTTAGAAAACTGTGCCTTTCTGATTTTCTTTGTCTTGACAGTAATATTGAAAGAATTGGAGAGGTACCTGGAGGTGTTGTACAGACAATTAAATAGAGATACAAGCTTTGCTACAAAGACTAACTAAATGGACCGACTTCTCTGCCTGTGATACTCATTAGAAGAATGGGAACAAAATAAAGATGATAGGATTTGTATAAAGTCATGAGCACATTGAGAAGATGTGTGGCAATCCACAAGTTATTATCTCTTCCAGCCCAGCACTAGAGGTAGTCACTTGAAACCAGCAGATCCAAATGCCTGTGTGCTTAGCCCACAGCTAAATATACCTTTGGTATAAGACAGTATGGCTGTCTTCATGGTATTTTCTACTGTTATTTTCTTATCATGGTTGTAAAAAATCTCTCGTAGCAAAAAAATCTGTCTAGGGACTTACAAAATTTCAGTTCAATACAGTCAGTATTTTAGTGTTTCTGTCAGGTTTTTTGCTTCTTTTTATGGAGAAAGCTAATCTGTTTTTCAGGGTTCATTTTAATCTGGAAACTTACTTCCGCTTTCAGTGCTTGATGGAGATTTTTATTCTCTCTAAATAGAAGAATTTATCTTTTACTGACTTTTGTATTGAGCAATGGCAGGAGACTGTGGATCTCTCTAAACTGCAACTAACACAAATAGCAAAAAAACTTTACAGCATTCACTGTGTGACAGGGTGGCTGATCAATTTACTGCTTTCATGGCTCTTTTTCTGAACTTTTCTCACTATATCTGAAAAGAATCTTTTACATTCTTTATGTAAATATTTTGGTAGAGATAAAATTAGATACAATAGAAGAGCATCAAGATGAAATCTGAGTATGTTTTTCTAGTCTCTCAACTTGTAAAATGTTCCAAATGTCTGAGGACACCACACTTGTCTGTCACTTGAGTAAATGCATGACATTTCATGTGAAATTGTGGATGCATTAGTTACCATTGATTTATTAGAAAAATTGAAGCAAAGTGATCCCAAGTGTTTGATTCAGAATGCTTCCTTAGTGACCTTCTGCTTGTATTTATTTCAAAAGGGAAAAGT